TATATACCCATCTGCCGGTACAAAGTGGCTTCATTAGGTGGGCGTTTTGGTGTGATAAAATTCTGGTTGTTTAACCGTATTAGGTGAGAACAGTTAAAAAACGGTTTTTCTCACAGTTAACAGTTTGAATACCATCTTATTTATGGCTCTTTGACTGTTCCGCTTGAATATGGTTAAATAACTATTAAATAAATTGTTATTTAACCATTTTTTTCAGAGAAATTTCAAACAGTGCATGGAATAATTTACTCTCTAAAAAGACGGTTCAACCTGAAAACATGATATTGTGTAATATTTAATAAAGTCATCCTTTGAACCGAGTTTTGGATGAAGTTAAACCATGTCACCATGAAATAAATGTACTAAAGTATTAGAAGTACGATAATATGTTAACTTAAAGCCAAATTAAGGTTGCAGAAAGTTTAAACCATAATATGAAAAAATTTAACAATGTGTTCATTTCAACCGTGTTTTTTATTATGTTAAACCGTATCACCATGTAATCTAGATTAAGAAGTATGACAATATGGTTCAACATGGAAACAAAATAAGTTTGCAGCATTCTTGTACCATATTATGACTCATCATGCTTCTAAATTTCGAACGGTTTAAGATTTAGAGTTGATAATTCTAGTTCGAATTTCGAATATCGCTCTTAATTCTGTGTATCCTTTTAAGAATAAGTTATTTCAAAAACTGAAATTTTTTTGAATGAGATTTCCAGAAATGCAAAATTATAATTAAAAAAATTTTTTCATTAGAATCAAACTTTCTTTTTTGGAGCAATTTTAGAACTAATTATTCGAGATTCAAAATAAATTAAATCATATAACGTAAGTTTAATAGAAATCGAAAACCACTCTCTCATTTAGGACAGTTCTAATTATGCGCGTAATTAGCTTTTAAAAAACTAATCTTCTTTCATATATACTTACGAGCACATTTCATTTTTTTGCGGTATAAACTTTTTCGCCGGAACACCTAATTAAAATGTTATAAAAAATATTTTTTCTAACAGGAAAAAAAATAATTTTCGGGAAAGAAGTGCTCTTAATTATAATGGTGCGCATTCTCAAAATTAGATACATTTTTAATCATAGCAGTAAATATATATATATATTTACATGTTTTCAATAATAATTTCGTTTGATATAAGCTTGCAGATTTTTGTAATTATGTTTACTAATGTAACTCTCTGCAGTAATCTTAAATATTTTTTTAAAAAAATCTTTTGCGTGATAATCAGTTGTAACCGATTTAAATATATTTTTTCAGAATCTTTGTCAAAATTGAAATAAAGATTATTTAGATATTGAGTCCCAAGCGGGGAATAAACGGATATGCTTCCGAAGTGGGAGAATTACGCGAGGAATAAATGGATATTTCCGAAACAAAAATAATCACTATTAAAAAAGGCGGTTCAATCAAGTATTTCAAACACTCTAACATCCTTGCAAACTTGTTTAAATTCTTGTCTAAAATAAAGGAAAAAGCATGGGTCACAATCTAATATTTAAATCAGAAATTAATATAAACTTTTTCGCAGAATCAATCACTATAGGGGAAGGGAGGACTTAAATATCATAACTTATTTGATTTCCCCGGGAATTATGTAAGAGTTTAAAAAATGATTATTAGGAACGCGTCGTAAGTTTTATAAGGGAATCAAACTAGTTTTTTTTTTGTTGTTGTCTTTTGTCGTGTCTCTCTCATTGGTGATTTGACACAGATTTTAATAAAGATTTCGCTTCTTTCGCACTTAAATATTAATCTGTAACTCCTTATGTGCATGCCTTTTTTTATTTTATTTTTGACACGGGTGTTCAAGAAATATTTAATAAGAAATTGATAACTCAGCTCCTTGAATAAAATTTTGTTTAAAACTAATGATTTCGCATGAAAATGCAATCGACTCTTCAGAGATGTTTACGATATGTTTATTTATTTTGAATAATTGTTATATTTTGAAGTTGTATTTAAAGAAAGAAAGATTTGTTATCTCTAAAGAAATTGAGTGTTTCAGTTTAATGTTATTGATTATGGGATCTTAACTATGCTCAGCTGTGGATAAAATCTTTAAAATTGCAGGTACGTGAGAAAGATTATAAATTTTTGTTCAAATTCATTCGACAATTTAATACATGGTGCGTAGCGTTTTTAAAAAGTGCTTAAAGGTGCTTATTTTAGATTTTCCTTTTTTAAATGTCCTTAAAGGTGCTTTATTCATTGGGTATTTGTAAAAAGTGCTTAATTTTCTCTTTTTGAAAATGAGATTTTTTTTCTTTGCCTTGCCAATTTTCACCATGTATTATGCAAAAGCGTGCTTTTCGCATTTTTCTATTCAACGTTCTAACAATTCATTTATCCACAATATATTTCAGCGTGCCGTCGGTCCATAGCATATGAAAGCACCAGTCATTGTACAGGTTTGATGAAATACTTGCGAGTTCGCATGTGCGTATAGTGAATTGGGATCTGTGAGATTATTGCACTCTCACGTGCAACTCTTCTGCATTTTGCTTGATATTATCAATGCCAAGCTTCATTTTCCACCCTCTGAAATCTCTTTCTGACTCTTGATCATTTTTAATTGCTAATATAATCAACTAAAAAGAGTTAATCAAAAACTAGTTACTTTATAATGATCATGTGAAGCCTTTGAAAATTATTTTGCATTTTGTTAATGTATATAGTGCTTAAAAATGCTTTTTGAGTGCTTAAAAAGTACTTAAAAGGTGCTTATTTTTTGTTACAAGATTTGGCTACGCGCCCTGTAATAAACAAATATGATATCGAAAATAAATGCCACTTTCTTCGTAGGGAACTACTGATAAACCAGTAATTACATGAAAATGTGGTTTTAAAGGCGGAAACAAACCAGTTGATTAGCTGTCGGGGGTGTTGTCCAGGTGATATATGCTATCAATTTTGTCTTCAAGTCTCCTCTTCTTATCTCTAATTGATTGAGGATTTATTTTAGGGACCTATTCGATAACCTTTATTTGATTGAAGGTTTTAGATTCACCCTTGTTAGCTTGCCTGCCAGTTTTCCATTTTATTCGTGGCCTATCAGTATCTGAGAAAACTAAGTTGTCTGAGTCCATTCAGTTTCTTCGGATTTCAATACTAACCTCCAAACTATGGTGGCATTACCATGTCTAATGACTGGGGGGAAATTTGTGGATAACTTTTGTGTAGCACTGTCTTTTTTTCTTTTCTTTTTTGGTACTAAAATTTTACAGTAAGAATATGTTCCTGAAAATTAAAATCAAAAATTATAACAAAAGTTATGAAATTAAAAAAAAGAAAAAAGAGCAGTAATACACATGTATATTTTTAATCTCTAAACAAAGCAATAATGAAAAAATAATAATAGTAAATAACCGCAAACTTAATTAAACACATAATAGTAACAATATTTCAACCAATAGAATCAAAGGGAGAAAACAATTTTGATAAATTACCTTATTGTGTGGTAATGACAGTTCTGGTTTAAAAAAATCCATAATTATGATTAATAAAATCAAAATATACGGTATTTAAATAATTCGCTTGGTAATTTTTCCGTTCATATGGTAACTTTTTACCTGAAATTACCACGCATTTATTCTTATTATCACACATTTAGTACAAAATACAAAACTGAAAGGTAAATTTAACCAGTTTTTGTGCCATTCTCCAAGGTATCAATAAAATTACCAAATTTTACCACGCTAACCTAATTTTATCACATATTGTAAAACCATATTTTATTGTGAATTTTACCAAAATGATTATTAAAGCGATTCTGTAAGCATTATAGAGCTTTTTGACACTGCCATAGCGACAGAAACACGACAAATTTTACCATATGGTAGTTTTGAAAATAGTTTTTTTCTCAGAGCAGGAAATTTAAACTTTAAATAAAAGTTGTTTATTTTTCACTTTCTTATTTATTCAATGCCAAAATTTTTATATTAGACAGGTTGAAATGTGTTCACATCATATTTGATACTCTTTTTAACTTCTAAGAATACGTAACACGTAAAAAAAAAACGATTAACTTTTCAATAATGTTCAATACTGAACTGCAATAAATATCTCCCTCAATTTAATGATGATGGTGTAATGCTTGAAAGCTACTGTCAAATGCGATTGAAGTGAAACACACATATGCTTAGAAAATCAAATTTCCGCGCAATGCACTTCGTATTTTCTCCATACACAGCTTTAGATTTCTTTCAAAATAAATCTCCCAAAGAGAAGTTTTGAATATGAGCTGCATTATAATTTATATTTAAGCAACTACATCCTTTCGTTAATATTGATAATTATAATGTAAAATACTAATAGGCGTTTATTATAAAATTCCCCCTCACTTGTTCTGGGAGGTTGGTGAATTTTTCTAACAATCTATTTTTGTAACTTTGAAGGATAAACAAACATTCTTTCTTGCAGCACACAGAATGAGCAAGAAAATTTTCCGACTAACTCCTAACACTGACAAGGATAGCAAATTTTCTGCCGCATTTCCATTCTTTCAAAGGAAAGTGCAACTACGATTAGAAATAATAATGTATCTCAGTGTCGAATAATATTCTTACCTCAAACCAGGCTGTTCTTATCTTTTATGATATAAACTAACTGACTTCCACACTGACACGAATCCAAATTTTCTGTCACACTTTTATTCCTTCAAAAGAAAGTGCAACTACGATTAGAAATAATAATGCATCTCAGTGTCGAACAATATTCTTACCTCAAACCAGGCTGTTAGTATCTTATATGACATAAACTGATTCCACCCACCACCCAACAATTGCTAATTTAATTAAAGTAATGAATATGCAAATTTTATCTAAACTACTTGAATTTTGTGTTGTTCTTTTTTCCAGAAAAAGCTATTAACAAAATTATACTGTCACCAATTTTAATGTTGCCCATAATATCCTGATTTTGAGAAATCATTTTTGTAGTCTGTTCTGTTTCTGTTCTGACTTTCCGTTCTGTTTTCACTGTAGATGGATGTGAAAGCAAGAAGTGCGAGTTTTATGCGATTTGTGAAATCAACGGGAACAATGAAGCCAGATGTGTTTGTCCACACTCCTGCGTGAAGGTAATCATTAGAAGATTTTCGTTTAAATGTTTTTGTATCCAGAATAAAATGTAGGTAAGATTGATAAATTAGTTTTTTAAATGGCAGAAATTAAGTTTAAAAAAAAGTACAGAGTAAGCGGAAAATTGATTTCCTACTTCTAAATTGATTTCCCACTTATGATCTAAAAATGTAATGAACTTTTAATGAGTAGAGATAGTGAGGTCAAATAATCTGTCATAATTAATATTATTTAGAGGATTTAACTACAGTTAAATCCTCAAAACCATAATGTTAATATACTCCACATCAAATTTTTTATATTAAATTTCACGAAATATTTTACAAACAATGACAAAACAAACATAAGAAATTTGCTTTTTTGCATTTGTTCTAAAAATCAGTGCTCACCCTCTTAGATTAATTGCATATTTTATCATTTTTTCCCTTTTTTTTCCTTCCAAAACCACGATTTTTTTTCCTGTTTCATCAACCTTTAGGCGATTGATTAGTTGAAACAAGTATTTATTATTTATTCAAACGATACTGGTTCGGTTGAGATACAGGGTGGTTCAATGCTTTTCATTCGAGACCAGAATTAGCGAGATGAATAAGAATAATTTATTGCATAATTCAGATCATTCACTTAAAATGACAACCTCTCAGTAATAAAATATGAGACGTCAGTGGAACGCTACTTTATATCACTAATATGTTGTTTGATGTTATTAAATATTAAAGGTAAAACTTCAATAAAATTATCTTCATCATAGGGTAGGTAAGTTCATTAAAGTACTATTCTTTTTACCTTTAAATTTTAAACATCTTTAAAATTTATGGTTTATTAAAATGATGAGATTTGAGGGACTGTGCAAATTTATCCTCAAATTAAGAAATGAAGAGTTTAGGTATTAAAATCATTTGAAATCCATGGGAAAAACGATCGGCTTACAATGTCAATATTAATTTTGTATTTTCCATTTTATTTAATTATTGAGAAAAGTTTTACCGAAGTAATATTAAGTTTTAGTGCTACATGTTACAAAATATTGTTATTTCAATTAATTAAATCCGATAATGAACATACATTATAAATAATTATAACTGAAAATAAAGTTTTGGGGTAATATAAGAATCAGCCGTATTTTGTCAAAGTGATTATTTTTGTAGAAAATCATTATGATATTTTTTGTAAGCCATAAAATTTTTCGACGCATTGTGCAGCCATTTATTGTAAATTTTGGAAATTTGAAAAGTATCTATCGGGAATCAGTATGAAGGAACAGTTTGGTGAAAACTGTTAACATTTCAAAATAATTTAATTTATCACTATATAGCCTCAAGTTCTTAAATTATAGATATGTTTTGTAATTAAGTTCTCAGGTATAATAATTTACTTCCAAGCAAATTAGGAGAAATCTGATGGGTTATAAAAAAACTAAAAGATTTATTAGTAGTATTCAGGTTAACCCTTTGACTACGAATTTTAAAAAATGATTTTTCTTGTCCCGTTTATTATTCAAAATGACAAATTAGGTCACAAATAAGGCAAATTTAGTATTTGGGATTTTTCTGACAAGCGGTTATCAATTTAGAAGTTGGGACATGTACCCTGCCGTACTCAATGGTGGGATACATATGTCCCACCTGCAGTGATCGACTTTTATTGGGACAAATGAGTCCCGTTAGTAGTTAAAGGACTATTATCCATCTAATTGGATTTTTGATTGCTTGAACTTTACTTCTGAGTTATATGAATTTGATTATAGGCGGAAAATTCTTCAAAAATAACTCTCTTTGTCAAACGCTTCATAACTTCTTAGAGGGGTAGGTAGGAGGAGTAGGACTTGAAATAACTCAGCAATGCAGGATTGGAAATGTTTTCCTGAAACGGCGTTGAGCGATTGTTCCGAGCATTCTTGCAGGAAATTTTTATTTCGGCCAGAGAAGCAGATGAATAATTCCAGAATATTCAAAATTCCATGCTTCGTTGCACAAGAGAAGAGACTGGCTCAGCCCAAGCCTGGGCCAGACACGTACTGTAAAAAGGTTCAGGGTGAACTCGGACTCATGATAAAATGTACATGAACTTTTTTTAGCACTTTTAAACAAACGTTTGGTGCATTTATTAAGTATAAAAAATGAACAAATTATTAATTAGTTTTGATAAAAAGATCTTAATTATTAATTTCTTTATTTAGGAATTAGAGGCTGAGTCACTAGGTCACAAAATTTCGCTTTTATCCTACATGTATCTCATCCTCGTGTAAATAGGCGCTTTAAGTAATCCTTTATAACTCTGCCTCAGATGGACTCGGATTAAAATCTTCAATCTTGGGTGGTTTTGGATTTCCAAAAGCGAGCCCGAACTCACCTCTAGGCATTGCAGTCGGTAGAAGAAACTTCGAACACTTCCCTGCTACCCATCTGACTCAAGTTCTTTTTATGTTTGTGCATTTATTATTAAAGACCAATAGTCACTTACGGTATGCTTACGACATGCATCAAAGCTTCAGGAGAGCATTTCTGATCCTGCATTGCTTCGAGTCGTGAGGATGCACCTTACTCCTCTGAGATGTTCCGAAACGTTTACCTGAGACGTGTCTTAACGTGTCTTAAATTAGTAATCAATATTTTTTTAGATTGAGTCCTCTGTCTGCGGTACAGATGGCATGACGTATTTAAATGAGTGTGAAATGAGAGTATCAGCTTGCAACAAGAGACAATATGTTGTGGTAGGATCAAAAGGACCTTGCGGTATGATATTGATTCCCTGTCTATTGTCTTACACTTATGTTATTAAAAAATTGTATTAATATTATTATTTCATTATATTTATTAATCATCTATTAATATTTATAAAATATAGAAAGCATTCATGCATTAACTAATAACAGAAATTTATCTGAAAAATGTGATTAGTGTTTATAAAGTTATTTAAATTAATTTGTTCACCCTCGCAAATTAAAAAAAAAACTAAAATAAAAACATTTAAATCATGTGATAGAAATCAGACACTCATGCAAATTAGAAAATCTTTCATGGAAAATTAGACAATCATACGAATATTAATCTGAGGTCATTTTATTTAATAACCGTCGTTGACAGCAAATCTAATTTGGAGTTTACGACTACCAATGTTCGACGCCGTCGCCTTGTAATTTTGAACCGAATCCAGAAGTTAAGAGAACTTCTGAATCAAGTACTGGGAGAAATTTGCCTTCGTGGAGGACTTGTTAATGGAATTAACCAGCATTTTAATTGCATAGCAAGGAAAACCTCCAAGTAGCTTGACGGCAAGGGGACTTGAGCCCATGATCCGTCTACTACTGTGGATATAGTACATCACTGTGGTCGGTACGAGTCAGGTGCGGAAGTCGTATCAACCAGTCATTGCTGAGATTCAAATTCGGGTGACCTCGGGAGGTGAGCGCTCTATCTCCTGAGCCACCATGGCTCAATATAAGATAATTTAAAGAAAAAAAGACTTTCCCAGTACTTTCTGTACCTATTAGATTTGATAAGTTCTTTCTTTCAACTGCAATTTCAGGTCTTAAGGAGCAGACTAAATTAATTTCTGTATAGGGAGCAACAGGAAATTTTTCCCTAGTACTCCTGTACCTCGTTTTATGATAATATAGTTTAGGCTGTAAACTCAGACTTTAGTGAGCAGCTTACATTAATATCGGTAATTGTTTTTCTGGGTACTCCCTGTACTTTTACAATGGTGCAGACTTATCGTGATTTTTTTTTTCTTTTTCATTTAAACGACTTAAAACTCCTTATGCACCACAAAGTATAGCATGAGGCTTACAGTTGTAAGTAGAAAACAAAAAGAAGAAAAATTTACAAATTTACATTAAAAACAAAATTTCGCAAGGCCGCAAGACTTTCAATACTTTTGACCAGAATAGAAATAAAAACTGGAACGTTTCTTAATTTTAATGCATATTGGAAAAAAATTTCCCATCAATGAATTTTAATTTAAAATATTAATTTTATTCTCTTTTGGACTTAATAGTTTGAAGGTAATAAAACTACAAATGTTTTCTGATGTTTTTCTCTAGAAAATAAAATATACATTTTATAGTTTAAAGCGAATGCAATATATTCTTGAAAAGCTAGGCGTTGCTCGTTCTTTTATAAAATGAAAAAAAAAAGAATTTTGATTCGTAAATCGCATATTCTAGTGTGTTTCTTTCAGCATATTTAAACAATAAACAGATATCAATCTTTTTCATCAATTTGATTTATTCATTTCACACAACTTTAGATTTGTGCCAAAATGTTCATTGTAAGTACGGAGCTCGATGTGAGAACGGACATTGTGTTTGTCCAGTAAACTGCCCAGACACTTACGAAGCAGTTTGTGCTAGCAATGGTCTATCTTATCCTAATGAATGCAAAATGAGAAGAGCAGCCTGCATCAGCAACAGAAACCTAAAAGCAATGTTTTATGGAGAATGCGAAGATATTAGCAGCTCTGGTCAAGGTATTAAAATTTTTTTCAAAGCATAATATAGTTATTTTGAGGTAAAAAAAAGTTATTCATTGATCCAAACAAGCACTAACTAAAGGAGATTATTTGTCCGAAGATGCTTTCACCGTTCCCTAATGGGTTTATATTAAAGATATTAAAAATAAATTATAGAAAAACCTAAGAAAAGCAAAATTAATTTTTATGACTAATACAATATTTAGATTTTTTAAAGCTAAGTATAATATACAAACGATGCTTTATTTAAATAAAAGATTAATGTGTTTTTAAACACAGGTCGAACAGGTCATTTTTAAACATTGCTCCACCTCGGTCACTTACCGTAAATAGGTCAACATCATCGGTTCCCATTTTTTTTCGGCTTCGAAACCCTAAATGATCAACATTTTTTCGGCGGAACCCCAACTTCATAAGTAAAGTTTATTAAGGTAATTGTGAACGTTATAACCTATAAAAGACTATTTGTAAATATTTGATTAGAGGCATGAAGATTTTTAATTGTTTTATCATAATTAATTCTAAAATTATGTTTTATGACAGACAGTTGAATTTTCAGTTTTTGTACTATATTTAGTCTAGCTGTGAATTTGTTTTTGGTGCACATACATAAGTTGAAAATGAATAAAATGAGACAAATTATGGTTTACTTCGAATTGAAATCGTTGATCTATATTATATAGAACTCTTATACTTGTGGTCATAAAATCGAATTCATTTCCTTTCTGGCGACGTAAACGAAGAGCATCGTTCAGTTGCCTTTTCTTAAAATAAATACAGCATTAGAAGATTTAGTTGCAGTAGTCTGTTAAATTTACATAGACGCCTCTAGGTTTTATTTTCTCTATCCCTATAACAGCATCCCATTTTATTTAGTCTTGAGACCAAATCAAATAAACATATTATTTATGAAAATCGCAAGCATCTATTTTAAAGCTAAATTAAAATTTGAATCAGACATGTCTGCATAGCATAACATCTAGTTAAGTATTTTTCAATTCACTAGTATATTTTAAAACTCAGCTTAAGGTTTTGAGTGATATATTTGAGTCACGATTGTTATTCAACGTTAGTAAAATAATTGAAAAGTGACTTTGCGCTTCAGAATAGTTTTGCAATATTTGAGTAATTATTGCCAATGAAAATAGAGAGATTTTGCAAAGCGTTTCGGTCCTCCCTAGCCTTAACTTTAACACTTATGACCTTGACATCGAATGCGCGTAAATTTCCATGCAAATGATAATGCCAGTAAAGAGTTATTGTTACAGTTAACATAAGACAAACTCCATTCAAAATCTCCCAAACAGAGAACTTACAACCCTAATAACTAAAACGATCAGTTTAATTGCGTTTTTTAACTACTGCTTTAACGGGACAAGGGATTTAGCCAAAGAGGGATAGGACGACTATTCGCCCCTTTAGAGTTGAAAATAATCTCGAAAGTTTTACCTAGTAATTTTTTAATAAACATGATTCATAATTTACTATTTTATGAAAACTTGAAAACGTGTTTTCTCTCATTTACATCATGTATGTTTATATATCTAACAATGCAGTGTTTCATTTTATTACCGGCGTTGAACAGTCGACTCAATTCCGAGTTTACGACTATCAATATTCATCTCCGAAGCCTTGTAAGTTTGACCCCAATCCATAAAACAAAGAAACTCCTGGATAGAAAGAAACTCCTTGTCCTCCATAAGGACAAGCCAGCCTTCATGAAAGAAGTTTCAGATGGAACTAAGAAGTATGTGCGTTACATGGAGAGGAAAACTCCCATGGTTAGTGCGATGGGAAATGATTTCTAACCCATGATCAGTCTACCACTGCGGATATTTTGCGTCTGCACTGTGATCAGTACGAGTTAGAACCCAACGCTGAGATTCGAACCTGGGAAACCAGGTTTGGACTCTTCCCCGTGAGCCTCCGTGGGTACACATTGTTTTCTTAAATAAATAATCTTAAAAAAAATTTATCTTGCCCTTTTCTTAGAAAGTTTTAGTTCTATATTCCAGTGAATTTGAATTTCCCCCTCCGCTCTCAGAATCGGTCGGGCTAGGGTACAAAAAAGAAAAGAAAAAAAGAAAGAAAAAACTTTTCGTTTTCGGAACTCAAAATGTAAAACAAACACATCTCTTTTAGCTAAAGCTTTCTCATCAACACTACACGCACGTAATGATCTTTATCCTTGACTTAAACCCTTAATCTGACAGCGAAAAATCAGCAGCTAATACAAATTTTTAAATAACATGTAACAATTCTTATTTTGTTCCTTATAGATATGAGCACAAGCACCAAAGGATGTGTGGAAAAGAATTGCCAATTTGGGGCGACTTGCCAATTGGACACAAAAGGGTTACCTCAATGCGTATGCAACCTCAATTGTCCTCCAATTAGAAAACCTATATGTGGTTCAGACAACGTTATCCATGACAATGATTGCGCATTGAAAGAAGAATCTTGTCGTCAGCAAACTCAGATTTATATTTTGCCCATGTCATTGTGTGAAGGTAAATATTTTGAATTATTTTTAACCGGGAATTTTTCTTGGAAAGACATAAACACTGTAACCGTAAAATATCTCTTTTTTAAGACATTAAATTGAAATCTTATACCTATATTATGAGATGTAGGTACATTTTAAGCTTCATGCGAAACCCAAATTTATACTATTTTCAATCTTGCCTCCTTCAATAGTAATTTGTTAAATTTTTGTAGCATTTTTTCCTACCTGTCAATGCATGTTCGTAACCATTATTCTGTTGTGCAATTGAAAAATCAACGTAGGTGAAGAAAAATTCAAAATTTAGCTTCTTACATATTTGACATCTTTATATGGTAAACTGCATATTATTCCAAAAGAAAACTTTTCAAAAAAAATTTGTTAAGAAAAGATGTCAAGCTACTTTTCTCGGAACCAATCGTGAAGCACTTACGTGTTTTTTTCTGTTACATGGCATTATTATCCAACATTTTTTTCAAATTTCTGAAAAGAATTCAAAAGCAGGCGAAAGATAACGGAACAGCTACCGTAGCTAAATTTTAGTAATAGGCAGGCAAATAATTGCCTATATTTATTTAGAATACCGACAAGCTGATTAACTTATCAATGCCTTTTTTATTTGATTCATAACATTCATATTTTGATTTTAGCGATATATATTTCAAATTATAACAGCATTTTTTTTTTAAAAAATACAAGATGTGGCAGATAAAAATTAATAATAAATAGAANGTGTGTGTGTGTGTGCGTGTGTGTGTGCGTGCGTGCGTGTGTGTGTGCGTGCGTGCGTGTGTGTGTGTGTGTGTGTATAAACACAAAGAGGTATAAAATAAAATAAAATAGGAAATCTTTTAATGGGAAAGGTCTTGTTTTTATCAGGACACATTCCTCTGCGATAAATGCGATATTTCTAAATAAAGAATAATTATCTTAAGACAAAAATTACTCTTTATAATGTGTCTGTTATGATGTGTCTAATATATATATAACGATCGATAGATAGTTAGATAAATAGATAGATATAAGTTGATTAGAATCTTTATATCTCTAGTTAAGTGCTTGTTTAATTAAATTTTCCTTAGAATATAAAGAAGTACCCTGTGATGGTGAACGGCCATTAGTTAATCCTGTTACTGGTAGAGAATATAGTTGCAGAACAGAGGATGCTTTTAACTACTGTCCACCAAGTAGCTACTGCCACAGAACCACATCATTTGCGAAATGCTGTAGAGAAGGTATGGGCTGTATTGGAACGATCTTATTCATTATGTACTTAAATTTGATTTATAATTGTAAAACGAATAGTCCAACTGTTACGGATTTTGTATAAGTGATCTTACTAATTCCACCAATCAATACTAAATTTTATTTTATTTTATTTTATAAACGACTTTGAGCAACCGACCCAATTATGTGCTTGCGACTATCAATGCTCAAATACGCAGCTATGTAATTTTGACAAACTAGTCTACGCGGAGGACTTTGAATGGAACTAACCCACATTTACAATTCTCCAGCCCGACAGCAAGAAGATTCTAACTCATGACCCTTCGACCATTGAGGATATTTTACGTCAGCACTGTGATCCGTAAGAGCCAGGAGCAGAATTCTTATCGATCAGCCACTGCTGGGATTCAAATTCAGGTCACCTCATTGGGAGTTGAACGCTCTATCCCCTGAGCCACCACGACCCGTACTAAAGTAATTTGAATAATAAAGATAATTTTTCTTTCGAAATAAAAAAATTCTGTGAAACAAATAAAATAAAAGATAATAAAGTAGAAAAATATACTTTTGTTTAATATCATTTATTTAAAGTAAAACCGATTTTAGTCTCAGCTATTTATTCAACTTAAAATACAGCCTTCGCTTTCAGAGTAAATAAACAGAACAGAGGGAAAAAATTTAAAGGAAATCCATTTATTTATTTTTTTTCATCTCTCATTTTAGTTTCTTCAATCTAAAATCCAATTTAGGGTGCGAGTTCTTGCAACAAGCCAACGATATTGGAGCGAAATTTAGCCAACATAAATTTTCTGCTGAGCAAAAAAGAGGTTTATACGCTTTCTCCTCTCGTCTATTAGCCGAATAGCTGTGCGACAAAAATAGACCTAAATAAAATGAACCCTCTCCCGAACAATGAACTAAATTGTTCATCAAATCTTACACGCCGTGTGGGAGAAACGGTATTTGTATAAAACACAGGATAGTAAATGATCCACTCGTTCAATTTTATGACTTTGTTTATCGTAATGAAGTATGTTTCGTATTTATCGTGTATCCAGTCAAGTGACCATAAATATTCTTATTGCACGAATAGAATTTTTTTTCGGAATGAATAAATTTATTCGAATTGCATTTCAAAGAAACGTGAATAAGATATTGAAACTGATGGCTGCGTTATTTAACGTGGAAAATAAATTTGGCTTAAAATTTATAAATTATATTTTGGATTTTATAGTTTAAGCAGTGCTAATGAACGATCTTGACACTTTTATATATGTAAAATGTGATTTATTTTATTTTTATAAATATATAAACCTAAGTTTTGCACTCCATTTAGCAGTATAGTTCGTTTATTTGTTTTTACTATGTATTTTGAGACTTTTGTTTCCAAGTTTTTCTCCGTATTAGTTTATACGGGTTCATAGTATATTCTTGCTTTTTTTCATTCCACGAAATTTCACGGTAAAAAGTACTTGCCCTCTGAGTGCCGGTACTTTTTACCGTAATTTTATCAAGAATATTTTACAGTGTGTTTGTTGAACTAAACTCACTTTTGTTTACCTTAATGTTTTTACAACGAGCTTTTACTAGCACTGAGAAAAAATCTTTCACAAAAACCACAAAAGTTAACTTTTTTTTTAAAATTTTGACATTCAATGTTTGAAATCAATTATAATTAAATACAATTTTAGCATAAATAGTTAACTATAATTGATTACAATATAATCAATTATAAATAAACAAAATTATAATAATCAATTATAGTTTTTACAACAAAACCCGTTTATTTTGAAGTCATATTTATTTAATTAGTGTGATTAATGATTTTACGGTAATTATTATTGCAAAAATTATGATATATCAGATTTTTGTTCCATGACATGTTCCGTTAAAAATTTATTTAACGGTAAAAAGTACCGGCACCCTCTGAGTGATAAATTTGATCTGGATTTTTTTACGATGCATGATGTTCCAAATGATTTGACCTGCTCATCTTGGGTATGCAATTATTTCTTCTGAATCCGGCATCCCGGGTTTGAATCCCATCAATCACATGACTATATCTCTCTAATGGCTACACATTAGCCGGTGATGAGTAGAAATGACAGAGATTTTCCATAGCATCACACCTTTATTTACACGTGGCCTGACATCAGGCCTGTGACGTCCGAGGATCATTTAGAAGTAAAAAGGCGTATTTGCGTAATTGTTTCTTTTCTACTAATCTTGCCATGGTGGCTCAAGGCATAATGCATTCGCCTCATAAGGAAGTGAACCAGGTTCAAATTCCAGCAATTTCTGGTTGATACGAATTCCACACCCAACTCGCATCGACCACAGTGCTGACGTAAAATATCCTGAGTGGTAGTCAGATCATGCGTTGGAGTTCCCTTGCCGTCAGGCTAACCCTGGGAGATTTTTGTGGTTTTCCTCTCCATGTAAGGCAAGTACGAAGTCGTGGTGGCTCAGGGGATAAAGCATTCGCCTTCCAATGAGGTGAACTGGGTTCGAATCACAGTGATGCCTGGTCGATACGAAATCCACACTCGGCTTGCACCGACCACAGTGCTGACGTAAATTATCCTCAGTGGTAGACAGATTATGGGTTGCTGCCTGGCTAAGCGTGGGAGGTTTTCCTCCCCATGTAAAGTAAATGCGTGTTAGTTCCATCAAAAAGTCCTCCACGAAGGCAAAATTTCTCAAACTAGTTGATCCATGAGTTCTTTTTTCTTCTGGATTTTGTTCAAAATTACAAGATTACGGAGTTGAACATAAGTAATCGCAAACCCAACAATTAGGTCGCCTGTTCAACGAATAAAATATAATCTTTGGTTTAAATGTAATCTTTGGTTAAAATATAACCTGGTTATAAAATAAAATATAATATTTGCAAGAAGGGGTTCTTAATATCAGGAATGGTGTGAATTTGACAAGCTTTTTTTCAGGCTTGCGTCGTCCGAAGACCGCTTCCAGACACATTTTTTTCAGTTTTCGTGTAAATAGGGCTTTATAGTTCCCGAAAATGTTTAAGCTTCTCATTTTTCTGAAAATATTTCTGCAAATCACAGTGCAGCTAAGGAGCAAAAAATAAGGTTATCATTTTAAGGTTAAATTTACTGCATTTTTCTACTGTGTAGTTATTTCTTAGATTTTGAAAAATACATGGACTTATTTAAGAATATAAATGATTTATTTGCCTTTATTTACAATGCATGAAGCTTAAATGCAAGACGAAACGTAAAAATACACTAATTCTATTCTATTTAAAATTTTCCAAATGTCTTCTAACTTAGAAGTTTTATCCACTGTTCTCTTAATGTATTGTTTCCTTAATTTAATGTAATAAAATGTCAAAATTGCGCGTGCAACAGAAATAATTGCCCGGATTAGATTGCCATTCTTCGTTGTGGAAATAGCTTGGCTATTTTCGTTGTTGGAGTTCGGCGGAAAATGAATGTATTTTATATAAGATCTTTTTTCAAATAATTTTCAGAAAAATGAGATTTTTCTTTGTGTATTTTCCTTCTAAGAAGATTTAATGAGTTTTTTAATGGAGGATGAAATGAAGAATTTTTGCCGCATTAAAAAAAAAGAGAAAGAAAATACTTTGTTAGTTTACCCTGAGTCTTTTAATGATTTTATAGTTTTGTGTTTTGAGTTCAATTTTTTTCCGTATTGTTTGTTAACAGTTTTCTTTCTTCAGATGAACCAAGTAATTTAAATTGCTAATTGTTTTCCAATTTTATTTATTGATTTAGTTAATCTTTATTTAATGTTTTAGAGCGTAAATAAGTAAATGATTTATTGGTTAAAATTTATTGGCACAAGAGACAGATATCACTACATTGCGCCAGTCACTAGTGTAATACACAAATCTTTCTTTCTAAAATGGAAAATATTGTTTTGATAAACTTTAAAATATTGTGGTATTTAGGGTCAAGGATTTAAGATCAGGATACGCCCACTTTTAAACGAAGTTTTTCTTCTCTAAAGGAATTTTCGTGCGATATTTCTTCCTTTAAATTCTCTTAATCTTATTGTATTTATTAATTTATCAGTTTGTATCAAATTATACAAAATTATCCATCGATGCTTATATAGCTATTATTTTGAACGGAAATTTTATTCTTCTGAATTTTAAATATTAAATACATCATTAATAAAATAAAAATGTACCGAAATTTTGTCATGCACATAGACCTTCTCCACTGTCATATGCATTTTACTCTGTGGTTTGATTGGATCCTTTCAAATTAATCACATGGTTGTGCATGGTCTGTTAACGTTACACCTTCGAGGTTTGGATTTATTATCACACTGAAGCAGTTTTCAGATCAGATTTAATTGAATACCCGCCGAGAGACGTCACACGTGTGTGTCGAACGTGATTGGCTGACTCACGCGTGACGTTACTTGCAGGTATCAAATTGAAAACTACTTTCAGAAGAATAACTGCCAGTTTATCATAAATTATTCATTCATGTAAATCACTTGTAACTAATTTCTTTAAAAATATTTCACTATTCACGGGTGAAAAACATCCTTGAAAAACAGTGTCGTGAGATATAGTTTTCATAGAACATTGTTTTTCTAATTTCTTAAAATTAAATTTTGAACTCTACGGTGGTAAATATTGAGAATTACCCAGTCTTTGTATGGGTCATATATTCAACACCACAGGCACAATAAAAAACAAGTTTAAACTTGAAAGCAGATACAATGCTCATCACTCGACACTCTACAAAAAGAGTAGTTAAAAGTTGTATCTACACTGTTATAAATATTAGTACATGTTGAACCGCAATATTGCACGAAATAGCTGCAATCTTAGATAGATGAACTATAATATCACGTAGTTTAATCTTCATCTATGTGAGACATGGGCGCAGTTCAAGCAAGTTGTGCAACTTATCTTTTTAAAGTTTAAAAAAAAAACGTGGTTTCAGTTATAGTTAAATCTTGAATCTAATTTTCCTAGAATGCATAATATCACACAAATTTGGTATCAAGCAAGGTTAACAAAAGCACCGAACAATCAAATATGATTTAATGAACTTTTTAACATAGAAATTACTTTCTTTTAATCTAATGAAGTCAAAATTGATTTAAAAAATAAGTAACTTAATTTGAATATAGTTTATTTATAATTAGATTTTTTCAATTCTTACAATTTATAAAGCAGCCAAAAATATGGCTTTACGTAATTCTGTAATGATTCAAGCGTTTAAGCTAAAATTAGCTATTGAATTTGAAAGGCTACAGGGGAAGCCGAGTATATTAAAATCCTAAATTGTTTGAATGAACTAAACTTGCCTCGAATTTCTAAACAACGCCGTTCCATTTATTCTTGGAGCGTCTGCTGAATTTATGGCATAATAATCTGCTCGTAAACTTTACATTAAAATTTAGAAAGAGAAATCGTATAAATGTTTGTAGTAAAGTGATTTAGCCTGTACTTAAAAGCAAGCTTAATTTTATGTACGTGGAATTTAGCTTATAAACATTCATTTAAATGTGAGCTAAAAATATTGTAGATTTACGCTATTAAATTTCATAGAAATAAAAGTATGCAAATAAAAACTTTTTTATTCATTTCGTAGGAAAAATAATTCATTTTTAAATTTAAAAAGTCACCTTGTCAAATCTAGCTTACGAATAAAAAAAATGCTCTTAGCATTTATTACTTAAATAATGCAGACACGGCATTTAATTGGAACGTTTTAAGGTCATTCAAACTATTAAATAAAATCATTTTATCAAATCAAGCTTGCGTATCAAAAGATAATTTAAGCAGGATTAATTACTTCATTTCGTAATGCATAAACAGCATAAAATTTTGAAATTTTGAGATCGTTCAAACTATTAAATAAAATCACTTTATCAAATCAAGCTTAAGTATCAAAAAATACTGTAAGCAGGATTAATTACTTCATTTCATAATGCATAAACAGAATTTAATTTGAAAATTTTAAGGCAATTCAAACAATTTAATAAAACGATTTTGTCAAATTAAGCTAACGTATCAAAAAATACTGTAAGCTGGATTAAATACTTCCATTCATAATGTATAAGCAGCATTTAATTTAGAAATTTTAAGGTCATGAAAACAATTAAAAAGCCTAATTCCAATTTAAATCAATCAAAAAGGGCCCTGTAAAAGGGTTTTGTTAAAGGTATTGTTCCTGGATATTTGTTTTGCTTAATTTGAACTATTTTAGAATTTTCAGAATAAATTTTAAAAGCTACATTTCCTGAAAAGAAATTGATTTACACTTTTTCTTTTCAATGTTGAACAATGTTGTAAGGAAAAAACGAAGTTTTCCTTTACCAGCTTGCTTTTTGTGACAAAATATTCAAGACTGGAGAGTAGGACGTCTTTTTAACATTGTTTCAAGAAGACATTGTTCCATTATAACATTGTTTCATTGTTTTGTAATCAATACGATTTTTAGCATTGTTTTAACTTTAAAACCTATTAAAGAAGCTCATATCTGTTTATTTCGAAATTTTTAGTTTAGTTTGAATCAACAATATTCCATTGTAGCTGCTGTTAGTGATATCAAAAATTTACTTCCCCTTTTTTTAGCCTTACTAAGTCCATGGAGAAAAGACAATGTAAAACAGAGTTTTTTTCCCCCACTTAAAATAATATTATACGAACGAAAAAGTGCTACAAACATACGATTACGTATGTTGATTGTAAACACGTACAAACAAGACATTTCATTGCTCAAGTGCAAAATACTGTGCTAAAATGCCGCAATCATAAAGTGCAAATCATAAGTTGGGCAACTTTTTTTGCTTCTCTGTTTAGTTACTTTAGCCTTTTTTATAGTGTATGCCATATTTATATAATAAAATGTAGACAAAGTAAATTAAACAAATAATGTCTAACAAAAAAAAAAGTCTAGCACTAACTTGGAATTGGGGGTAAAAAAATTTTTTTGCATTTTTGTACCATTGAATTATTATAAATTAAAATATATGTGAAATGAAATTATCTGTTTTTTTTCCAGTTGTTACAATTAAAACGTGTATTGATACACCTCATGGCTGTTGTCCAGACGGTAAAACAGCCGCACCTGGCTCAAACAATGCAGGATGTCCAAGTAAGTCTTTTAAGTTGATTTTGATTTATTTTTACTTCTTTTAACTTAGATGACAGATTCATCATAAACTGGTTGTACTGAAATATGTCTAACAATGTATACACCAAAGAAAATTTCTATATAAAATTAAATTGTCACTTTTTTTCTTAGTTTTTGAAATTTTAAGCTAAAATTAATTTTATACGAAGCAGAAAAATAATGAAAAAGTAAAATTTTAATGTAACATTGTTAAATCAGAGTCCTAGTTTCTTACTAATGTTTCAAAACGAAACTAAAACGAAAAATGTCTCTCTTAATAAAATTCATTGCTATTGCTAAATTTTCTAATTTTGAGATTAAGTTAACTTCTTTTTACTCATTTTAATCGAATTCGTCTTTTTTGTGAAGCAGTGTTATTGTTTCTCTTATTGCTAACCGCTTAGCTAACAAAAAGAAGTATTAGCTAGTTTTTACTTATGTTCCATTGAAGCGTTTATCACGAATAAAAGTTTTTATTCGTGATAAACGTTTTATAATATGCTATATTATGCTTAAATAACTGTTTGTCTTCCTCTTGTTTAAGCTGTATTAACTACAAAGCATAGATACTAAATTTAAAAATTAAGAAATACAGAAACAGTTCCGTTTATAACTGTTTTGAGAAAATGAAAAAAGTCGCTTATAATATGAAGAAAAAAAGTTTTTTAATTGTACTCATAGTTGCTCAATTTAATTTTTCAGCAACGTCTATATTTCGTTAAAGTATGAGTAATATTTAAAATTTCTGTTTATGCCTACATGCCTTTCCGAGCACAAGTAAAATTACTGTTTCATTGAAGAAAATATTTTTATGTCTATAGCATAATAATCTAGTAATAGTTATGCTGGCAGTTAATAAAGCAGCAACGCGCTACAATGACAATGCAGTAAAATCGCAAAAAAATAAATAAATAAACGACATTTAAGCTCCAAATGCACTTATTTCAGTTTCAAAAATAATGACTCAATTGATTTTTGACTACGATTATATTTTCTCTCAACCAATATTCATTTTTAAAAGCACATCTTCAATAAATTGTATAAATTTCCTTTTACTATTGAAAAGTGAGTTTTTTTTAACCAACAAGTTAAACCTGTTATTTATTTAACAACCTTTTCATTACAATATTGGCTCCTTTGTTTATTAATTTTTCTCAAATTTTTTTTTATTTAAACGCTGATTAAAGGCATAAGCAAATGATAAGGCATGCGTCCTTTTTTCATAGTTCGTTTTGTAACTTAAAATTGCTTTCGTTTATTTATTTAAGAGGGAAAAATCATTACAATAAAGAGATGAAACTTTTATTTATGAAAAACGCAGTTAGAAATATTATATATAGAAATATAGAATAAAATGTGAGCAAAAACAATTGAATGAACCAGTTTTATTTTAATCTAAAAATGGAATGGAATTATAAAACCTTAATTGTAAAAATTTAAAACTTATATTACACTGTTAGAATTTTCGTTCCAAAATTACGGCAAAGTAACCGGCAGCCGTCTGTCCATTCAATTAGCCGCAAAATGTACGGGGAAGAACATTTTTTACCGGTGGAGAACATTTTTCAACCAGAATAGTTAAAAACGACATGAATACAAAACTATACTGTTTCTTAACCATTTACAACTAGCATGGTTTCAAAACCATAAAAAAGACATTTAAATGGACATTGGAGCTGCACTTTTCGTTAGGTAAAGGTCATTGGTGTTAGGTTGGGATTGAGTTTTTTTTTAATCAAATGAACCGTGGAATGTGGTTTAATAAAACTTATCTGGTTGTTGTACCTATCGTAAGAGATGAAAAATATTAGACTTTTTGTGTTTGACAGCTTTATGGTGCTGCCATCTATGCATGAAGGAGAGTATTATAGTCTATAGTTTAGGGTTGAAAATGTGGAAGTGCAAAGCACTGGAAACTCTTCATGAGTTGAAGGGAATGGAAGAAATATTGTGGTGTCAACGCTAGAACTTGAACCCCCAGTTCTGTCGGTCATAAGATTGGCCCTCTCGGCTTTAATGTGCACCTAGTTGCAAGGTACTAAATAGCTTCATTACGTTGAGCCCAGTTGTTGCGATAAAATTCGGGTTGTTTGACCGTAATAAAAGAAAGCAGTCAATATACGGTTTTTTTTCACAGTTAATAGTTTGTAACCCCTTATTTATGGTTAGTCGACTGTTTTGTTTAAATATGGTAAAATAACAGTTAAATAAATAGTTACTTAACAATTTTTTCCGAGAAATTTCTAACAGTTCAATGAAATGAAACGCATTTGTATTCATATAAAAATAGAATGGAACTGTAAAACTATAATTAAAAGAAAATTATGAAATTTAAAAAATTATATCAAAACCCCCTATGCAATATTTTCTTTACGAAAGAAACAAAGTTTAAAATTAGCTTTATTTATATAATAATCGTTTTCAAAATTTGTTAAATTAGGGAATAAAATTCAACCTAATACAAATCTATCCTTTAACATCATTTTGTTTGCAAAGAAAAAATGCCTTGACTCTTTGTCAAATGAAGTATATTTTTGGTTTGAAACTAAATAAAAAGAAAAAAAAACTCTTCAAAAACAATTTTTCTTTTTTCCGGCACGGAAGCATATAATCCACAATTTAATATAATTTATTTTACAAACATGCCACCCTCTTGAACAAAGGAGAAAGAAATATTTCTTTTATTTTTCAAACAAATATAAAGGAAAATAACAAATAAATAAGTTCAAAGCCAATTATTATCCTCTTATCAACATTTTTTACCTAAACGATTAAAAATTTTCTTTAAAATAAGTAGTTTCAAACAATTACTTTTAATTAGGCTATTATGTAAAAGCAGATGAGTTCAAAAAGAAGATAAACATTTAATTAGTCTTGTAAAATAAAAGTGGTAAATGATGTTAGAAGTATGTGTCTAGTACCTCTTTATTAAAACAGTAACTTAATTTCAAAAATTAATAATAAATTGTTCTCATATTTAAAATTGTCTGAGGAAATAATTTTTTTACGATAAAGCAGAAAAATGCTGGAGAGTCCATTTTTATTCGAAATTAAAATTTTCTTTTGAGGAAACACACACACACACAGAATTATATTGCTTCTATACTTAAAAATCGTTGTGCCTTTTTCTGGTAGTTTAATTTTAGCAAAATCAATCACTAAATATTCAATATATTTTTCGTTTATGTTATTTAAGCAGCAGAAAAATGAAAAATTTTCATGCATGACAATATAAAATATTAAAGAATAAATAAATCAATTTAAATTTTTAATAATTTCAACATTACGGTGGATTTTTTTTAAAATTTATGTGCATTATTTTCTTTCTTTTGTTCTCTATAAATTTTAGAGTAAACATGCTTAATAAAATTGTTTAAAATGTTTTAGATGAAGCTGATATAAATGAGAAGGATACAACCTTTAGTATTAAGAGTCTTTAGTTTTAAAAAATCGTTCGTAAACTTTACGGCGTTTTCTCAAAACAAGGATTTTTATTCTTAAATAATCGAAGCTTGTTTCAAATTTTCAACCAAGGCCAGTTCCTTTATCAATGAAATAAGGAATACTAAGAATGAATAAGATCTAGTTATCCCATACGAAAATAACTAGAGAAAAGCTGAAAGGGTCTTAAAAGTTTTTAGTTAACCTTAAATATAAATGTCTGAAAAGTTTACCCCCCCCCCTTTTCCGTATAAAATTAAGTTCCATCTTAAATTCAGTCAAGGGAAAGGGTTAAAAAATGTTCAAATTTAATCCATACAGTTTCAGTATTGTATCGTATTTATTTTTTCAAATAAGATAAATGTCAAGATAAGATCTGAGTCAAATAATATCAATGTTATGTCGACAGAGTTATAGTTAAGAACGTATAAACGTTTTAATATGTCGTACGCATACATAGTACACTGTAAAAAATTCCGAAATTTAATTTCTGTCAAAAGTACCGGCTCCCAGAGTAACAGTACTTTTTACCGTAAAATCCATTTTACCGAAACATGCTACGTAACAGAAAATCAGATATACCGTAATTTTTACTGTAATAAGTACCGTAAAATCACAGAATCACTCTAATTAAATAATAATTGCTTGAAAAGTAATGATATAATATTTTATAGTAAAAATGGATTTTAAAGAGAATGCAACCAAAGTGCAGGTACTTTATACCGTAATTAGATCCGGAATTTTTTACAGTGTTTACAGTTATTCACTTCTCTGAATTTCTTATGCAACAAGTGAACGAATGTTTCCGATTTAATTTTTTACGTCGAATTAAACGATATTAAATAAATTGAAATAATTGATAGTTTATAAGTTAAGACAAGGCCCTTATGTATACAAAGCAAAACATTTTAAGCATGCCTATTTATGTATCTGATATTTCTAACTAATTAACTGAGGTATTTTTTCGTAAGTATTTTGTTAAGCTAAATTTAATGCTAAATCAAAGGCGAAACAATAATAAATGAGAAATAAAACTGATACAACTAACAGTATAGAAAGTTACAAGACTTTTAGCATACATAATGTACAAAAAAGTACAATTGACTTACAACTAATAATGATTTTCACATTTCTCCCAAGGCAAACATTATCTCCCGCTAAATCGAATGAGATGAAAAGCAAATTTTTCTAAAAGATTAAAGTTTTAAAGGTTTAAATTTTAACCATATTTACAAAATTAATGTAATTTTTGTTGCATATAGAATATTTTTCATGCTTATAATTTTTCACTAATCAAATGTTAAATCATACTTATAAATTATATTCAAGCCTTTTAACTTATGAAATTTTTTAATGAATTACCATGTGCATGAAATCCCAACACGGTAAATGCATCAAACTCACAACTTACATTTTACATTTGATAATTTTTCTTTTACAATTATTTGTAAATGTCAAATTTATTAAAAATTTCAGGTGATTGCAACTGTAATAAACTAGGTTCCTACGGATTAATATGCGATCCTGAGAGCAAACAGTGTTCTTGCAAACCAGGTGTTGGAGGAATGCGATGTGACAGATGCGAACCAGGGTACTGGGGACTTCACATGGCCACTGAAGGAAATAGTGGATGTTCTTGTGAGTAATTCAATATTACTAAACAATAAAAAAATATTACTAAGCAATGAAACAATTCTACTAATCGTAAAGCAATATTGCTAAACAATGGAAAGAATATGCTTTATTTACTTTTCTCACCATATTTGTAAGAAACTGACTCAATAGTGTAGAGTCTACAATAAAACTAATCATAGTAATTAAGTTTCCGGAGACATTAATCATATGTTCAATATGTTTTGGAAACTTACTGTTTAATGTATTTATTCACTTTGACATGGGTATAAAAATGTTTATTTGGGGACAAAACCTCAAATCATTTTAAAAATTATGACAAAATATTCATCGTGAGAAGAAGTATTAAATATTTTTTCTTTTTTAAATCTTAATGAAAACTTCAAACCTTTACAGAAATATTTTGCATTTTTTATTTTATAACAGTCTTTGAACAACCGACCCAATTTTGGGTTTACGAATACTAATGTTCAACTCCGTAGCCGTGTAATTTTGAACCCAATCCAGAAGACCAGGAAACTCCTGAATCAATACCCCCAAAGGTATGATTTGTTATTACATGGAGGACTTTGAGACTCGACTGATTTAACGTGCATCAGTCACCGTTTACTACACGGGGAGTCTTCGGCCGGCGGGAATCGAACCCAGGACCTCTTGGACATAGGCCCAGTGCCCTACCAAGCCGTTTATCCAGTAATATGACCATGATGAGTGAAACAAATTATGGAAAATGGACAAAATTTTAAAAAAGGCCAGTTATAAGCGCAAATTTAAAAGTATTTAGAGCCAACTGAGATGGTATCGCCAATTTTTACATATGCCCTGGAATGTTTTTAAAGTGATAATTAAGTTTAAAAGTTTCTCCTTATATCATTTTTAATAATAAGATCTAGCAAAAGTAACAATTTAACAATATGTTTAAGATACTAACCTTAAGAAACTTTAAAAATGAGTATGAAAATATTTTTAATATGATCATGTAAATGCATAAATAATTAGGGGGGCCATGATTTTCTAAAACTCGAAAGTAAAGTTAATTTTATTACAACTATACAGCGTTAACATTTTTTCTGTCTTAACTTTTTTTAAGAAATGAAACAATAGTAGTGGGCCACGATTAAATAATAACAGTATACTTCCTCTGTTTTACTTCCATTACAGCTCTATGCCCGTATCTACCGTTTAAAGTTCCAAACGAGGAAGGGCTGAAACTGCATTAGCAAAAGTGGTATCCGGGTGAAATAAAGTGACTATGAACCACTCAAAACATCATGTCTTTAAAAACTGAGGAGTTAGTCTTTTTACTTTAGATCTCTGCAATATATGAAGGGAAAAGAGAATTACAAAGTTGTAAAACGTCACTGATTCACTATGAATTAACACCTCGTGGACATGATCGTCAAACGCACATCTATCTGTTCGGAAAATAACTCATTACTATTTACCTTTATTTGAGAGTTCTAAGTTTTCCTTAAGCTACATTAAAAATAAAGTTATCTTGTGATGTATTGTTGTTTTATTTCGTACAGAAACCATTTTGTCACGTCACACTGTAAGAAAACCCAAGATTTTTCCCAGAATAAATTACCACAATGGGACAAATGCTCTCGAACAATGTAATTCACCTTTTCCTCCCTTGCATTATAAAGTTCTGCTTTGGAGATACAAACGCTTATTCCACAGAATTCGAACATGTGACGTTGTAGGTGATCTGAAATTGTACAGTGTTAGAAATTTCTCTGAAAAAATGGTTAAATAACAATTTATTGAATGGTTATTTTACCATATTTACTCAAAACAGTCAAATAACTATAAATAAAATAGTAATCAAACTGTTTATGAACTGCTTTCACCTAATACGGTTAAACAGTCAGAATTTTATAGCACCAATTGGAACCACCTAATGAAGCTACTTAGTTCTTTACAACTGCGTAGGAGCCGAGCTGGCTTATCTGTCAATCTCATGACTGGCAGAGCTGGAGTTCGAGTCCTAGTGTTGACACCGCAATATTTCCTCCATTCCCTTCAACACATGAGGAATTTCCAATATCGGGGACAGTCGAATGCCCATCGCCTAACGAAAAGCCGAGCTTCTATGTTTAGTTAAATAATTATTTTTTATTACCTTTTTGAAAAATGCTAGTTGTAAATGGTTAAAAAACCGTTCAGTTTTGTATTCATAGTTTTATAACCATAGTTTTCGCAAATGGTTTCAAAACCATAAAGAAAAAATCTTCTTTACCATAAACTTTACGGTTAATCGGATCGACAGACAGCTGCCAGTTATTTTACCATAGTTCTAGAAATTAGAATTTTAACAGTGTAGCGCCTACAACCATTTCAATATAACTAGACAACACTTTTAATAATTATAGCTGCAGCCGCCTGAAATTACAGTATAATTATTAAATATACTAGATACTTAATATTAAATATGTATATAATTATTAAATATACGGCTATAATTATTAAATATACTTTTAATAATTATAGCTGCCAGTTATTTTACCATAATTTTGGAAATTAGAATTTTAACAGTGTAGCGCCTATAACCATTTCAATATAACTAGACAACACTTTTAATAATTATAGCTGCAGCCGTCTGAAATTACAGTATAATTATTAAATATACTAGATTCTTAATATTAAATATGTATATAATTATTAAATATACAGCTATAATTATTAAATATACTTTTAATAATTATAGCTGCCAGTTAATTTACCATAATTTTGGAAATTAGAATTTTAACAGTGTAGCGCCTACAACCATTTCAATATAACTAAACAACACTTTTAATAATTATAGCTGCAGCCGTTCAAAATTTACACTAAACACTTACTTAAACATTACAGTTATAATTAATTTCAAATTAAATTCCATTATCTTTGCAAATTGGATAATCTGATTACAAGAGATGATCTTCAACACGACTATTCATTTCATATCTGTTTGAACTAGACGTCGGTTAGAGAAAAAGGGAAAATGCATTCATCGACTTCCCTTTTGTAGGGATTGAAAGGAATTATCGTTATTCGAGTTACAACGCACCTTGAATAAATAATATATCTTTTCAGTTTCCATAAATAACAAAAAACCTACCTCGTAAATAATAAAGCAGTTACTGCAAATTTTTTTTTAACAAAACAATTTCATATTCTCAAACAATTTTTGCAAAACCGCTTGATGTTTAATTTATTCATTAATGCAAAATATAATAATAAATTGCAACTTAAAAGTGTTTAAATAAGACACCAATGTTTTTCTTTTTTCTAAAAATTTTCTTTTGATTTCCGAAAAATATAATTACATTTTCCAAAATGTATCAGGCTTTTAAACAATAAAGAAATAAATTTATTAATAAAGAAAACTAGTAAAAAAAGAATGAGATAAGCGAAATAAATTTTTTTTTCTATTTCTATATAATTGAAATGCGGAATAATAAAATTAATTATATTTTTATCACTTTCTTAGTCTGTCAAAAGGGAATTAATTAGTGCTTATTTTAAACTTAAGTCAAGATGATAATTGAGAGATAATATTCTCCGGTTTAGTATATTTAAAAGCCTTCAATTAGGAATTTTGTTTTGGTTAATTTCCTTAGATATAATTAAATACATTGACAGAGATTTAGTTGCGTACAATTATGTTATTTTCTAAACAATACTTTTTAAAACATCAATGCAGTTTTTTTTTAAATAAATTTTTTATGCATTTGCAAATGATTATTTCTTTAAACATTATTTTCCCGACTTTAATGACCAATAACTTCTAATATTAAAAAAAATGTTTTATAGATAAGTTCTCATGCTTGTAAATGTTTTAGTAAAAAATACTCTTTTTCCGCATGTTATCAATATACCTAACGTTTTTGTCGAGTTTGGGAGGAAACAAAAATCGCATTTAAAGTTACCTGAGTTCGATTTAATACCTGCTGTGTAGGAAGATTTTAACCCCTCGGCCAGGTTCACGCGAATCTAGTTTGGGCAACTACTATGTGCAATATTTGTGATGCCCGAGCCGACTTCGGGCAGGAGAAAATTTAACGTTTCTATTTTGTGAAGTCCGAGCTGATTTCGTTTCTACTTTAGGATACTTAATTCACTATTTTCCTAATAGATGGCATTAGTGGTACTAGTTTTTCGCCGATTATGACTTCTGTCGAGGGAGGGAAAATGTGGGTGATGCGAAGAGTGCGATATGGGCTTGTGTGCAGGACCGTGTTTAGGGATATAACGTACTGTAAAACATTTGTAAAATTTATGTATTGAAAATCATATTGTTGTGTTTTTATATTATATTATACTAGTTATATTATATTTAGCTTCAAAATTTTGTTTAACTTGCTCTTAATGAATAAGATGTGAGTGTAATCCATTACTTTTTTATGTGTATGTAAAAATTACAAACACAGTAGTTATTGCATTTAAAATTTTATTTTTGTAATAAAAAGCCAGTTACTAACTTTTATAATAATATGAAAAACAAAATTAAACAGTCAAAAAAATTTTCTATTTTCGGTCCATTTTTCTGAATTATGTTAAGGGGCTAAACAATGATTTCAATCAAATGACGTAGAAAAAACTAGTTTCTTCAGGGAGAGGTACAATCAACTCTACTAATATATCTTATTATAGAGATATCTTGGTTAACAACTGACTGTTGATAGATAGAAGGGTGAAGCTAAAATTAAATATTCTCCCCCTTCCAGCCATGCTGAAGAACCTGGAAGGTTTTTTTCAGAGACCTTTCTGAAAAAAACAATTTTCTACACTGTAAAAAATTATGGATCAAATTACGGTAAAATGTACCGGCACCCTAAGTACCGGTGCTTTTTACCGTAAAATTATTTTTTACCGGAACATATTATCGATCAAAAGATCTGATATACCGCTATTTTTACAATAGTAATCACTGAATCACTCTATTGAAATTACTGAAATACTACTGTAAAAATTATAGTATAACATTTAACGGTAAAATAGATTTCACGGTCAAATAGATTTAGCTGTAAAATATATTTTACGGTGAAATCGATTTTATGAATGACGCTCGCAAAGTGCCGGTACTTTATACCGTAATTTGATCAGAAATATTTTTTTCGGTGTTCGACAAGATAAGACTTGCGACTGGAAAATCGCATAAGTTTGATCCTTAAGAGGCTATGAGTTTGATGCTTGAACTAATACCCTCTCACTTTTATTCTATACCCTGACGACAACAACGCATTTAATACTCCTCAAACTTTATGCATTTTTCACTAATTAATCTTGTAATACTTTCCACTGATAACTTTATAATAATTTTTATGCAGATATAAGGCTTTATAAACTTAGATTGCATATACACAAGATTGAATATATGATTTCCAGATTACAAGAGTTAAGTTGCATTTAAAGTTTAATTGTACAAGAGCAGTAATCGCAACATAACGCCAAACGTAAATGGAGTTGAGCTGCTTAAATACCATCTTTTTCAAACCATAACTGAAAAAAAAATCTTTTTTTATAAAGTATTGTATAACGGAAATTAAAAACAATATGATTCCCTTTACTTCAATTTCACAAAATATTTATTGTTTTTAAGCCTTTTACGTCGACGCTGCTAGTGGATGAAATCTAACAAAAATAAACACTATCAATTTATTTCATTGATATTATTTTGGTTTAATTTCCCTTAATATTCACCTTGTAAAGCTTGAAAGAAAGGCTGAAGTACATTTGTTTAAATTTCTAAAACTAACAAATGTAATCCCGCAACTTTGTAAGAAGTACACACATCAACGTTTTGAAATGATCATCATTAAATAATCTCAATTAGTAAAAACGAAAGCGTGCATTATAAAGTCATTTCCGAATAAAGTCATAACCATTACGCTGTAATTTTAAGTGGGATGTATTAAACAAATATCAAATTAACTTTGAGCAGAAGTATGCATCCCGTACAAACGTAGAATCATTTGTGTTATAGCCTTTTCTTCATTTTCAGCAAGCGAGTTAAGTAGTACCATTATTATATAACTGGTTCGACTACTTTTGGGAAATCTATAATTGCAAGTAATTAAATAGAAAATTAGGATTTAATCACTAGGTAAGTTTCATGATTTTGCTGTTTTCAAAGAATACTCTTTTGCAGCTTGTAACTGCAATCAACATGGATCTGTTAGAGATGACTGTGAACAAATGACCGGAAGATGTGTCTGTAAGCAAGGAATTATGGGTATGAAATGTGATATATGTCCTGCGGGTACTGCTTTGGGCAGCGATGGATGCACGGATGGTAAGTTTATGATTAATATTTTTTTTCGTGCGAAAACATGACATTAGTTAGAAACATTGCATTGTTTAAATTATTACGTAATTTTTTTAAATTTCTTTTTCATTTGGAAACATTATAATAATTTAAATATATTGCATTATTAGAAATCTTCACATATTTTAGAATTGCATTTATGCGAAGCATTGCATTATTTAAAAGCATTACATTACTTAAAAAATCTTCAAATATTTAGAAACTTCACGTTATTTGGAATCATTACATTATTTGAAAACGTAACATTGTTGAGAAACGTTGCATGTTTCCAAAACATTATCTGAATTAGAAATATTACATAGTTAAAAAACACTACATTATTTAGAACTATTGCATTATCAAAAGCATTACTTTATTTAGAAACATTGCATTATTAAAAGCATTATATTATTTATTTCTTATTAGATTGTTTTTATTTTTTGGCGGACTATGGTTATTCCACAATCAATTAAATTTACAAGAACTTTCTACTATTTTACTTTATATCTTGATGTAGCATACTCTCTGATCTATATTACTTTGAAATTAAATAATAATACTACTGTTTCAATTTAATGTTATATTAATACTACATTTTAAACTCAATGTTTTTTAATTAAATGTCAATACTATTATTTTAATTCAATGTTTTTCGATTAAATAACAATACTAATATTTCAATTCAATGTTTTTCAGTTAAAAAATAATACAACCGTTTTAATTCAGTGTTTATCAATTGAATAATAATAATGTTTATCAATTAAATAATAAAGGAAATTTTTTAATTAATTGGCAATGCTACTGTTTCAGTTCAATGTTTTTCAAATAATAATACGATTGCAATTCAATGCTTTTTAATTAAAAAATAATATTACTGTTTTAATTCAACGTTTCTCAATTAGTAATAATTAATGCTAATTAAATTCAATTTCTATTCAATGTTTTTTTATTTAACAACAATACTATTATTCCAATACTCTGTTTTTCAATAAAAAATAATACCACAGTCTTAATGCAATGTTTCTTAATTAAATAGTAATACTACTGCTTCAATTCAATTTTTTTCAATTACATTAGTAGTCGTAAATCCGAAATTAGGTCAGCTGTTCAACGACGATTATAAAATAAAAAATAAAATGACGTCACCTTCGGATTACCATAACTTTTGTTTACCGTCACGTAATTAGTTCTTGTTTTACTTCCAGATACATCAATCTGTTTGTTTCATTGGGGCCCCCCAATTGTAAACTATTACCCTACGTTTTAATTCAATGTTTATCAATTAAATAACAATTCAATTTCAGTGTCCACATCAAAACCAATGTCAGGTTCTTGCTCTGATGTCTCCTGCATTAATGGCGCAACGTGTGAAGAAAAGAACGGAATTGCTCAATGTCTGTGCAACATCACTTGCCCTACACCTGAAAAGAAAGATGCAGTGTGTGGATCAGACGGCAGCACATACGCATCAAAATGTCAACTTAACGAGTTCAGTTGCAAGTACCAAAAACAGATCACAGTTGCTTTCGAAGGTGCTTGTAAGAGGGGCCAGTGTAAGTTACTACATTTCAACTGCATTCATCTCTAAAGATAACTATCTTTTGGTGATGCCACAATAGGCATTACATATTTCCTAGCATTTAAGAAATTGCTTTAATTTCTGAAACTTATTTTTTTAACCATTCTTAACCAAACTTTAATTCAAATATATCAATTATTTAATTTTTATTAAAATTTATGAAAAGCGAATATAAAATAGTTTATTCTTTTCTTTTCGATCAATGTAACGGATAACTTCTTATTTCAATACTAATGTAAGACTCATTAATTCACTAAATTGAAAACAAAAATCTATTTATAACTCTTTACTCGTTATTTCTAACCACAAATGTTTCAGTTACATGGTTATACTAATTCTCACAGTCTTGTTGGTGACTCGCGATTGCCAAAGTATTTTCAAATTTAATATTGATTATGGGGGTTGGCTTTATTTTTGGCGATGTTATCTTTCAATAAATCACTAACCTTGGATTTCTTTCCATTCTCCAAACTGTCAGTTGGGAACAATTCATTCACTTTCAATTATCAATTTTCAGCTTATGCTCTTTTGGGCATCCCAGTCAACTAAAAATTTTCGATGTAAGAGAATGTTTTAACTGGATCCCTTTACGGAATATCTTTTCTTTATTATTTTTATATTTTTTGAATTATGACCATTTTTAATAATTAATAAATCAAATTTTTCTTAAAGGGTATAATTCATTTTTCTTAGATAATTACCCCTCTAGCACATCCAAATTAAGATTCATCTGCAACAACTAAAAATGCTTAAAACTACAATGATGCTAAATGTACGCATCCCACTAAGTAATTTAAAACGATCACCGTCACAACACTTTGAACCAATACGTTCTAAATGAGAATGCAATGCAAGTATGAGCATTACGTGCTTCCAAGCTTTGCAAGTCTGTACAGTTTTGAAATTTGTATTTTGTCTTCTATTATTTTTCTCAACATAAGTAAGCTTGTTTACCCGTAGAAACAGTTGAGTGGAAATCAAATTCTTAAAATAGATAGTCTGATGTTTAATTTGGATAAGAATCTCATCATTGGAGGTTAAGGTTTGCCATAAATATGTGAACTCCTGTTGATTTTGCATTGTCAAAACAATTTAAAAACACTCAAACCAACTGCATTGGCTTGGTTCGATATTTTTGATAGATAGCCAAATAATGGACCATTCCCTGTGAGGAGCGGCAAGTGTTTTGCTCAGTCTTGTTTTGAAGCTTGAACTAAAAGGTTGGGGGAGGGGATTGCCCATCTTTTTACGGTTCTTAGTTTAAGAATTTAAATATTCTAACAATTTCAAAGTAAAGATTGTAATGTGTGGCAAATAAGTATTCCAGGATTGGAAATCTATTATTTATTAAATCTTCTCATTTTCGCAACACACGCAAATACAAACAAACGTAACATACAGATAAAACACCAAATAAGATAAAAAATTTATTTCGAGTGAGAGTACGTTCAAAAACAGTGTTCCCATTTTCACTTTGCGGATCCAACTCAACATCTCATCGCCAAATGGCCACCACTCGCCAATACAGGTGCGCCTAACTCTCACAGGACCTCCAAATGTTACAAATTATTTCTTTTTGTGTATTTCCTAAAGAAATGTTTATTAAAATGGAGAGTTAGCGGAAATTGAAAATCTTACAAGATGTTTTGTAGAAGGTCTGTCAGTAGTTTAAAAGTTTTTTTAGATATGAATTAAATTAATCTGGAGTCGCACGAGGGCATTCTATTTTATTCATTAATGCTACTCTAATGAAAATAAAGTACTTAAACGTTTTCAAAAATAATGTTTTATTTTATAATCGTCATTGAACAGCCGACCCAATTTAGGGTTTAAGACTACTGACGTTCAACTCCGTAGCCTTGTAATTTGGAACTCAATCCAGAAGAGAAAGGAACTCCTGGATCAAGTATTGGAAGAAATTTGTCTTCGTGGAGGACTTTTTTGATGAAACTAACCCGCGTTTGCTAATCATAAAATCAATTCAATTTACGAAGTCAATTTTGATACATAAGAGGTAAATAAACACATTGAAACATTAAATCATTAAATCAAATTGGAAAAGCGCACAAGGCAGCTAGAACCAAATTTGTTTTATATAATAGAAATAAGGCATAATTATTAAAATAAAAATGAAAATATAAATGTGTGATTGCAAAACAGTACTTCATAAGGAGTTGTTACATGGATCATCGCTTGCGTTACATGGAGAGGAAAAACACGAGAACCTCCCACGTTTAACCTGAAATCAAGGGAATCAAAAATAATATCGATGCGTTTCCTTATTAAATAAATACTAGTGGGCTGCGCCCCCTGCTCGCTAACGCTCGCCAACCCCCGAAAATTGCTACGCAATCTTATATGGTTCGCTTCGCAAACCAAGCTCACTTTTCTTGCTACTAACTTAGGTACATTGTAAATCCACAAAATTCTAAGAATTCAAAACAATCATTCAAATCCATATAACAACTTTTTTTTTAAAAAAAAATTACATCTTTTTAGTAAATACTAAGTCATTAAAATAAATTTGAATTCAAATAAATGACATGTAATTCGTTAAACCTATTAGAAATGTGCTATAGTATAATTCGTGATATAAATCAAAAATCGTCAAATAAATTCGTAATATATAAATTCGTGAAAAAAAGCGCTTTCGACAAAATACTAAAATAGAGATCTATCGACAAAGACTACTCACTTCTGCCTAGCTTAATAGTATGAGATTGCCGCAGCTGATGCTCTCTGGTTATTTCAGTTTCCGTTTTTAAAAGCGCTATATGTTGAGTCACCTCAGATAGATTTGGCATGTGACATTTTTAGCGGCAATCATGGGTCGATTCGCCGTGTAACAGAAATAGTAGCGTAAGCAAAACAAAGCAAACGTTGCCACCGGCGGAAAAGAAATACAGCCAAAATTTGGGAGCCACGTAAGAGAATTATATATATTAGATATTTAGATCTATTGGTAAACAGAAGTGATTTTTCTAAGTAATCATTTTTTTAAATAACATTTATGTTGTTATAACGTTATATTGTTGAAACAAATTTGATGAGTTCACATTCTTAATTTATTATTTTCGCTTGCCAAACGGTAGGATATATTAAATATTTTTTTTTTGCCTGCATCTCATTGTGCATGAAGCTGATCCTTAAGTTCTAAATCATTTAACAGATCTCTTTAACTGTAATTTATAACAGTATATTAATGTTATTTGCTCAAAAATAATAATTGTTAGACCACCTTTCTAAATAACTTTATCTTAAAATGTAAGGCAGATTTACATTATAATACTAATAAAAAAACAGCAATTCTCTTAGTTTTAAACTCTTGAATTAAAAGCGTAATAATAGCAGTACAGGAAAATAACTTTAAGTTAGGGATTCAAAAATATTTAAAGAAAAGCATGACTTTTATTAATTTTATGCTGACTACAACCAAAACAATAAGGAGACGAATGAGGAAAAACTGGATCACACCACGTGATTTTCTGGCCAATAAAAATGCACCGACAACAATGGAAAACTGCGACACCATCATTAGAATTTTATATATAGTAAGAAATAAATAAATACAAATGCTACATAAAATACCATATCTCAGAGCTGTAACGTGAGGAAAGAAGTATTTCCCGCTGCCACTTTTTTCATGACATTACGAAACACGTAGTCTTGGCATTTCTACAGTGACGTTATGCCGGAGGAAAATATGTTCATCGAATTCCATGCACACAAAAAAATTCAAGTTATTACATTGTATAATTACTTATAAGGTATGTTTGCAACATTTATAATTTTAATTACCTTTTTTTTAATGGCTCAAAACTTGTCAAGGAAAAAGAAACTGAAATTCGGAGAAATTTTGAGAGAAAATTTTAAAATTTCACAAAAAACACTAATACAAAAAAAATGTATGACTGAAAAGACAGAAAGAAAGAAATAAGCTACAAATAATAAAATAAAATTATGTAAAAAAGATGGAAAAATAATTCTTTTCATTTTATATATTATTAATGTTCCGATTTTAATAAACAAAAATTTTAGAAAAATACTAAGTATTATACAGTTCGCAAAAAAAAAAAAAAAAAANAAAAAAAAAAAAAAAAAAAAAAAAAAAAAAAAAAAAAAAAAAAAAAAAAAAAAAAAAAAAAAAAAAAAAAAAACGTCTTGAATAACTTGTTGTTGTTAATGTTGATCCAATGATTGGGACTTCATGTTCTAGGACTCAATATTAAATGTTCGAGGGAGTGATCTCAAATATTTTAATTAATTAGTGAAGACGATATTTTGAAATACTGAATCAGGTACAAAAACTTACATACTTTCACTGAATAAACATACCTTTTTAATGACGAATTCGGTTTCTGACTCTCAAAATAGAGCCGCAATTTGAGAAATAGAGTCTCAATAGTTTGGTTTGAAGAGCAGTTCAAAGTTCAGATCCCTATATGTTAATTTTACTTTTTGTGTATTTCACACCAGATCGAGAACTTTTAAAACGAATTGAAACATTTTTGCACACAATTATACAATTCGTTTATTATAAGAATAATTCCACACAAAATATACATTTTAGTAAAATTTTGTTATTTTTTCTAAATTCATTTAACACAGTTGAAAAATTTTTAATTGAAAGGTACAAAATTTTTTACATCATTTTAACGAATGATATTTTAAATGACAAAATACGAAATTTGAACAAAATCGGTCGACTAAGAGGCCTGAGAAATAGTATTTTGAAAATTCGATTTTTCAGTACCTATTCGCCTGATTTTGCTCAAATTTCGTATTTTGTCAGTTAAAGTTACATTCTTTGCGTTGTTAAATTCTTCACGTTTATGTTTCGTTGTTCATCTCGACATTCTCATGCTTCAAAAACCATCATTCTGTGTAAAATATATTTGTAGGTACTGATAAACATCAAATTGTCAGTTTTGGGACGAAGCCTGTCTTGGATTTTTAAAACTAGATTCAAGGCCC